AAATACATACATTCGATAGGAATAGAATGGAATGAATAGGACAAATAGGAATGCACATGCAGTGCCAGTCAAAAGTTATGTTTTTTTTTTGTTTTTTTTTAAACATAGTAATAGTAATGCCCAGACACCATGGTTATTTAGTTTAAATCTACTATCCACTAGAAATGGTCTGTGATGACCAGACAGAAAAAGAGTGCTCAGCATATGTTGGAAATTTTTCAACATTGTTGAAAAAGGATCTCAAAGCTGTAATCGCTGGTTGTTATTGATGGGTTAATGTAAGTTATTTAAAATGTATTGGTTCAATTTATTTAACAATTTTTGGTGACTGCATAGTCTGTTATTTAATAGATGTTATTTAACTGTTATTTAATAGATCATTATTCTACAATTTGCAAATAGCAAATACTATATCACTTAAAAACACTTTAAAATGTGCTGTGTGTCCTTCCAGCTGCTGCTGTACATGCTGTTCAAGATTCATTCTGTGTTCCACATGCCTTGCTTTGAATGGAAGAAGTGTAAAAAATTCCTCAGGTTCAGTCGTTCCACCTCCAGCTTGTTCAGTAGGATTCTGAATAGTAAATGAACGAGAATAACATTGTGCATTGTGTTGCTTGAATAACACTGATTCAAGAACAAAAAAATATTTGCTGCACTGATGCTTGATTGGAAATATGACACTTATTCTTGTAAATATGTAAAATAGCTTCCTTAGACTTTGTTATTACTTGGGTTTTTTGGTTAATGTTTTTATCGTGTCTTGTTTGTCTCCCCTGTGTCTTGTTCTGTTACACACCTTTGTTTTATTATGTCCTAGCTAAGTGTTGTGTGTAATTATTGCACTTCAGAGTCTTACTATATTGTGCCTTGCACAATATAGTAACTTGTGGTTTCCTAGCTTCTGTGTACTTTGTGTTATATTTCAGCCCTCCTAACCTCCAGGAATGGTGCTTTAATGCCTGGATACCTTCTGGTGTGCTTGTGCCCACAAGCTGAGACGTTACCACAAAGTTACATGGTGATCATTTGAATTATTTTTTTGCTATAAAATATCTTGGTTAATGGCTGTCTGCCCCTTTATACTTCATGCCTCATGCACATATCAAACAGTTCTGAAAAATAATAGGAGCTATCTGTGTAACAGCTTGTAACTACAGTCAGTGCTACATGTAACTTCTCTGCCAAAACTGGTGATGTTCATAAATGTTCATAAACTTGTCAGAACCTTTATGAAGGGAGAATGTTGCCTTTGTCCACCTCGCTCTCCCACAAGACTCCAGCCTAGGACCTCACCCTTGTGCTTTTACTTACAAGCCTGCAGGATGCAGAACTGAAATGGATCTCTCTGAAGACCACCCAGGGGTCCTACCTGAGGTAATATCACCCACATTTGTGAATCAATTAAACCTTGCCTTCTTCCATGAAAGGGAACCTGCTGAGCAATCTTTGCAATGCCCATTGCATGCCCTATGTTACTATGTAAACCAGATGGCAGTGACTTGATCATCAGATCAGTTGTTCATCTGTTATGGTGGAGAGACATTCAGAATGCCCCTGTCGAAACAAATGCTGGCCCATTGGGTGGTGGATGCCATCACTGCGGGATATTAAAACACCACTTCTAGTGGTTATGAGGGGTCAAATAGAACATTATTTACTTGTGTCACTGTGGTTCTATGAACATGGGATCATGGTAAAGGTTTCCTGTCTTTCAGAACCAACACTGACCCGGCTGTAACTTGGCAAGAAGGTTCCCGGGACAGATAGCTGTTGACAAGGGTATTATATAGCAGAGCACAAAATCATATGGTCATGTGACTTTGTGGTATGGTCTGGCATGGGGTATGGTCTCACATGTGAAAGTATCCAGATGTTAAAACACCACCCCTGGTTATTGTTCATAACTCATTTTCTAAATGAACATTCAGCACAATTGCTTTTCTGGAACTGTGCATTAAACAAAGTGAAAAAAGTTTTAACCAGGAAACTGCTTTTGTAATGCAAGTTGTAAAAAACAGGCTAGGTGCTATGTTGTTATTTTGATTTAATATCTTATTATATTCAATGAATAACTCATTATTTCAACATATTATGCTATTTTTTGTTATTATTTCATTATTTTGACATATTTTCTCATTATGATTCAACTTAATATTGAATAAACGATAATCTATAAGATGAATTCATTGAACATTAACTTATAACTCTTATTCTGTATGCTTTTTCCCAGATAGTAAGTAAGCCAGTTGCTTTAGTGGAATTTAGTTGATACATGTATGTCTAATGATTGGTAACTCATTTACATGCGTTCATAAAGGTTTTGAGTCCTAACACTTAAGTTGACAGCAGTCCAAAGTTGGATGTGCTTATTGATACAATATCATTATACCAAACAAATTATACAAAAAAAAAAAATCTTTTCCCACTATAGCAACATCAGGCTTATCATCTAGGAAACAGCATACAGAATAAGAACTATTATTGTTATAGACTAATTTTCAATAAATTAATCTTACTGGTAGATTGAGGGTGTTAAATATTATGTAAAAATAATATGATGAGCTATTAGATAATTGTTTAAAAAATTAGTCAATAACTGGGTATAATTAGTTATTTTGAAAAAAAGTGACATCTTGAATACAGGTTATTAAGCTGTGAGCTTATGGTTCATGGCTTCTGTACTTTTAAACATTGACTTGGTCTTTCAAATTTTGTTGGTAAATTGGCCTGTGCTTACCTGTCCAGCAACTCCCAGTCCTCTCCTCCCCACTTGTCTGTAAATTCTTTAATGTTCATACCTCCAATTCGAACCATGTCTGATTTATAAATGCCAATCAGACCATAACCCATAGTTTCCCAGAAACCTGTGTCACACAAAAACCTAGTTACTTTCACTACTATAGACATGATAGACATGAGCTAGCACAAACACGGTAATAACATACCAAAAAATTAGGAATCAAACAACTAATTTTGTATAGTGCAAATGAATATAGAGTCCTTAAATGTTTGCTATAACATCACTACCTGCAGGGGCCTGCACTGTGGCACCACATTCCAGTCTCATCACAACAGGAGCAAACACCATTTTCCCTCGCACACAGTGTTTACGTACAGTGTCTATTATTGTCACAGGAAAGTGGAGGTGCAGGTCACACAGGAACAAAATACTGTTCTCATTCTGATGGAGGAAATAAAAATTAGTGAAAAGATGACTAATGACTAATTGATTAGTGTTAAATGTAGTGATACAGCAGATTTAAGTGGTCCATTTAAGGTCCTTAAAAGTTTTATCATATAATTTTTTACCTAATCTTTATTATTTATCAAATAAAAAACTGTTTCCCTACTTCAACAAGATCTATTCCTGCTTGAAGTCCTGGTGATCTGCCAAAAGGTCCATCCAGTCTCTTAAACTGGTAGCTGTGTATATTCCCAAAGATACATAAATGACACACATATATACATGTACAAAGCAAAAATATTTATCAGTGCTTATCATGTACACCTGGTAACACCAAGTGTTTTGCAAACAAAAGTTGTACCTTGGTAAATTAGCATTTTTCAGTTCCATCTCTATATCAATATCTGTGCTGTTATAGTCTATGAGAATGATGTTGAAGTTTTTGTCTCCTGTGGCTTGGTACACTTTCTCCATTTCCTTTATAAAATGCATGACCCATCTGCCTTGGTTTTTCACTGTTGAAATAAGGACCAGAAAAATCAGAGAATCTTAAAAAGAGAGCATTGGAGCACAACAGAGGCTTATGCCCAGGACTGCAGGATTTAAACTTGGATGCACAATAAGAGGCCAGCATTGGATAAACTGCTTACTTTGTTTAAAATATACATTTGGTTGATAATCTTCTGATGTATGTATAAAATAAATCACACAGAAATTATTAAATAAACACAAATTATATATATATATATATATATATATATATATATATATATATATATATATATATATATATATATATATACACACACACACAAAAAAAAATGCATAAAAAAAAAATCTGCATCTGTATCTGCACATAATCATTCAGATACAGGTCCAAAGCATAACTTAATGTTCACATCACACACCAGAATAGGGGGAAAAAATATGATCTAAGCGACTTTGACCATAGCATGGATGTTGCTGGCATTTTCACATGCAACAGTCTGTAGAGTTTACACAGAATGGTACAAAAAACAAATAAGATCCAGTTCTGGAGGTGAAAATCCCTTGTTGATTGCCAGACTGGTTCAAGTTGACAGAAAGTCTACAATAGCCCTGGTCACTTGTGGTGCCTCAACGCATATAGATTTGAAGTGAATGATTATGCCATTACATTGTCACGAGACAACAATATACACAGAACATGAACCAATGAATGTAAAGTCACAGAATCTTAAATAAATTCAGAAATTATTGGTTATTTGTCAAGTACAGTTATTGGTGTATGGATCTGAATTTCTGAACCAGTGTGGTCAGTTAGGTCCTAACTGTTTTTAATTAGAGCTAAATAAACAGATGAAAAATCAAACCCACATTAAGTGAGTCGATAAAAAGAAAACTTAAAAAGGAAAGCAGACCCAGAGAACATAAAATTTGCTTAATGGTTTGGATTAAAAACAAGCTCAAACTAATTTTATTTGAATTTGATATTCTGTAAAGAGCTTGTTAAAGAGCTGGATTTTGACAATTTGGTGAATGAGTTGAAAAGCAAGAAAGAAGCTAGTTGCCTAAGGTAAAACTGCCTTCTGAGTATCACCGAGACTATTCATATGCTCATAATGGATGTGTAATGTAGTAATGTTGTTGTTGTTGTTGTTCTTTCGGCTGCTCCCATTAGGGGTCGCCACAGCGGATCATTGGTCTGCGTATTTGATTTGGCACAGTTTTTACATTGGCTGCCCTTCCTGATGCAACCCTCCCCATTTTTATCTGGGCTTGGAACCGGCACTGGGACTATATTGTCATGTGCAACCCCAGTGGCTGGGGTTGGTTCCCTGGCCAGGAATTGAACCCGGGTTGCAGCGGTGAGAGAGCCGAGGCCTAACCACTAATCCTCCAGGGACCGTGTAATGTAGTAATGTGCATGTTTTATTTTGCCTGTGTTGGGTTGCAGGGCAGAGTGGTCAGGGCTTCATGCATTGGTTCATGCATAGCGGAGTAGGGAAAAGTTCTTGCCCAGGGCCCCAATATTAACTAATTCATTCCTGATAGACCATGAAAGGTTTGACAATCACACAACTAAAAATCTGAGTCTAACAATATCCTAAATGGAAGTTATAACTCTGTGGCATTGTTTACTGAATACCAGTAATTTGTAACCTGTAAAACTGGTTCATAAATTCGTCATTCTTTGGGCATTCATACCAACATTATGTTAATTAATGAAATAATTTATTTTGTCAGTCCATCTGCAAATGAAAGGCCAAGCTTTTGAGTTAAATCATGATATTGGTTTTACATTCTTTTAAAAAAAAAGATAAAAAAAAGTTGTTTTAAACTGAGTTAATGTAATGTTGAAAGAGGTATCATTATAAGTACATAAGATCTGACCTGCTAGAATAACATGGACTGTTGCTTCTGGGTTCCAGGAGAAACTTTTTGGGCTGCAGAGGGTAGGTAGTTCTGGATTCTTCTTTTTTTTTTTGTCCTTTGTAGCATAAAAGTATTTAGAGAGCAGAATGTTCTTCCCCTTTGTGTCCTCCAGCTCCAGCTCCAGCAGGTATCGACTGCCCTTAGCATCATCTGTCTTCTTCTCCACATTTAGCACCCTCTTTATGACCAGATCACTGCACATCCATGAAAAGTCAACTTAAATCCTGATAATTGTTAGCCACCACCACCACAAGCCAAAACATTCAGAATGAAGATACTGAAGGATGTGAGTATATACCTCATGATCTTTGTTGTGTGTAGTTGACTCATGAAGGCTTCAACTACAGGCATGACTTCTTTTTTGACCATTATAATATTTCCAGCTCTGTTGCAGGTGTGAATAACAAAATCACTCTGCTTTGAATGGAAATCCAAAGCATTTACACTGAAGACCTGCTTCCATTTTGGGTTGTTTAGGTTCTGGTTTTCTGATTTGGAAGATGTTTCCAATGTTAGGAATAACAGAAAACATAGATTAATCTATCTAATTAAATTTCAATATTAGATTGAAATATGAATTTTAATATTAGAATAATCATGAAAAACACTTTAAAGGCATCTAGGTATTAGTAAACTACCTGTTTCTTCGTTTTCTGCTGTGTTTTCAATTTTCAGATATGGGCCAAACCCACCTCTTGAAAGAAAGAATACACATGGAGGTATAGATTAATAAATCAACATGCAATCAATAATATGGAAGAGAGCGTGTCAGAGTCTACATTAAACTTTATCATATGCTTCATCCTTTTGGTAAAAGCATGCAATCAATAATATGGAAGAGAGCATGTCAAAGTCTACATTACCCTTTATCATATGTTTCATCCTTTTGGTAAAAGCATATCTGTGCATCAGTCCCTTCATGAGCTAGTCTTGTGTGGTCATTGGGATACACTGAGGAGTAGTGAACCTTTAAAAAAACACAATTAACCATCATTCCATGGTGTACTAAAGTCTGGGCACATGGGAAAATAAGTCAACAAAACATAAAAGATATTTTCCTAGAGGTTGAAATAGTCTTCCTATAATTGCTTCTCTGTGTTATGTTTAATAGACAAAACCAGATGGCTTTTTAGTAGCCATTTATGTAGAAATCCAGAAAATCAGTAAACAAACATTTTGCATTCATTCATTCATTCATTCATTCATTCACTTAATCCAGGTAAGGGTCGCAATGGATCTGGACCCTATCCTGGTTTGGCAAGTGGGGGCATTGTTTAGTGGGAGTCTGCAGCAGGAGTGTGGGGAATGTGCAATTTAACGTGGCCCACCTGTGGCCTATTTGTTAGTATCTCTCTCTCTCTCTCTCTCTCTCTCTCTCTCTCTCTCTCAGCGACCTGAACGCTTGTAGGTGTTTATTCGTGAACCTGATTAATCAGACATCTATAGCAGCTGGAAAGCTGCCAAGTTTCAGCAGATCAAAGCTCCATTTACTGTACATTCTTTTTCACTTTGTTTTCTTTGTTTTTTCCTGTTTATAGTGCCAAGAAACACAATCAAAATAAAAGCTCACATGTGATCACCCTGAGTCTGCTGGATTCCTGACTAGCATTCCATTGCCACTGTCACACACACACACACACACACACACAGACACTGTCACTTTAGTGTCACCAATCCATCTATCAGAATGTCTTAGAGGTCAGAGGAAACCTGAAAAGCCAGATGAAACCCACATAGATGCTGCGAGAACATGCAAAACTCCACACAAAACAGTATTTGCTTTTTAAATTTGCGTTTTAATTTAAAGTACTATTCCTCACAGAAGACAAAGTAAAGATGTACTCACATAATTTATACCATCATATCTCTCAATAGTCGAGTTGTCATATATATGAATTGGATAGTAATCACATTTGGGAAAAACGTTTTCCAAGTTGGACTCGTTCAGCAGTGGTACTGTTGAGAGAGAGATAGAGGGTGTGAGTAAGAATGGGTCTCAAGTTTACACTAATGGGAGTTTACTCACACTAAAACAAGATTTACTTGTATTACATTTACTTAGAAAGGAACTGAAATAACCATAAATATACAGGAAAAGTGAGAACAATCTCATGAAGGTGTATTTGAAAATGCTACTGCCAAAAAAGCTTTAGGTACATAACTAAGTAAATAAATAATTACATGAGTAAGAAAGTAAATAAGGATATAAATAAATATCCCTTTGGAGCCGTCCATATTCTGGCTTGTGAAAATCTCATGAAAACATTTTTGAAACACTCACTCCTGTAAATAAAGTCTCGTGGGTCCGCTTTGACCATGTCCACTTCAGGCTTGGCAGGCTTGGAAATGGGATCAGGGGACATCCTATGACTGGCTTTTGTTTGAGGGATGTGATCATTTTCCACCAGCAGCAGAGAAGACTCATCTGTACACATACAATGGAACACACACATTTATTCATTTAGCAGATGCATTAAACCAAATTTTCTTGTACGTGAGACAGAATACAATGCAAACATCTGAGTCGTTAATTTGTTTAAAGACAGAACAGTGTCCAGTGGTTGTACTTAGATTTGAAGTCACACAATAGCAAAGAATCTTAATGACTGAGAGACAACTACTGCTTCATGTTACAATACTTTTTCTTCAGTACCCATACTAATTTGTGTATTCATAGATGTGTATGTTTATATTCTGTGAATAAACTGTGAGTAATGAGAGCTGTGCAACTCACCAACATAGAGGGACAAATACTCTGCAGTAATGACCTCAAAACTACTGTCTTCATTATTGAGACGCCACTGAAACAAACAAAAAAAGGAATACAATCTCTTAGTGAAAGACTTTTGTTTCTCAGACAAGGCAAAAGCATTCAGTGCATGATGAAAATTCACTTGTTATTGCTCACAGTTTAATGCAAAATTAGTGAAACTTGAGTTATGGCATTATTAAAAGTGGAGTTCCATAAATTAAAGACCACAGGTAGAAACTACACAGTAAAAAAACATGTAGAAATCTGAAATATACAATACAGATGAAATAGACATACTGCGACCTCCAGGTGATCAATTCCTTCACTTTGTTTGTAGAGTACTTCAAAAAAATACCGCATGTTTTTTGATAGCCTAAAAAAAGTATCATATTGGATTAATGCACATTAACAGTTTACAGCTTATTTTTAATAAATCGATTAAGTGTGATCTGAGCCATGCCATAGATGGAAGTCAGACACAGAAAATATTTACAGTTCATTCATTCATTCATTCATTCATTCATATAATTTTCTATTAAAAAATCTGTACAGGAAGCTGTTAGAAAAGATGTCACTTACAATACAGGCTGAGATATTTGAGATGAAAATTTCCCATACTCTCCAGGGGCTGCCCATTCCTTTCCTGTCTGACCAACAATGCACAAGGGCTAATTAGGCATAGGATAGTTCTCAAAATAATAAAACACTCTATTTAGCCATTAATTTTACTATTACTATTACCTATGTTCATCTTTGTTTACTAGTGTAATGCCTCACTAACTCAATGTTGAAAAGCAAACATATAGGTCAATAATTTTTACCTTGCCAAGGTAGGCCATAAGTTTGATTCTTTTAGTGCTGTCATCTGAACTCAGCCAGAATTCTGCATTGTTATCAGAAGCGATAGCAAAAATGTATTCACCTGGAAAAGAGCGAGCAGAAATGATTAGAACAAACCTTGCCACACAGCAAGGGTGGCTAAACTTATCCACCAAATGCAAGTGTGGCTGCAGACTTTCATTTCAACCAAGCAAGGTTCTACTTATTTAATCAGTTGACCTTGTTGTTCAATCAACAGCAATTATTTGAGGCTCCTATTTGCCTAAAATGAAAACCTGCAGACACACCAGCTTGGAACCAGGCTATGTGATTTTATTGGATTAATTAAAATTTTTTTGAACACACCACTTAATGCAGGATGAAGGTATCCAAAGATTCTCAGACCATAGTTTTTCCATCCAGCATAAACAGCCAGCCTGCTGATTGTGGTGCGAGTCTAAATAATGATACCACACAATAAGGTTTTAGTAAACAGAGATTGCTTTTAAATCAGAAATTTGTAACTGTCTTTAATTATTGTACAATGTTTCATATATATACATAAAAATCACCAGGAATTAATCTGTCAGATGGCTTTAAAAATCAGTACTGCTGGTAAAGAAATATATCTCTTATACAATTTTATCACCTAATAATAAAATTGATAATCAGACTAAAGCATTCAATACTTTTTGTACACTTTGAGGAGCAACAACGCAACAACTTAACCATAGTAAATGACCTGCCAAACCAAGGATGACCAGAGAATACAGTCAGTTATCAAGAAAACTTAACTCTTTAGGATGTAGACATGAATGTGCCATATTCAGAGTTGAGTTACATACACTTACTGAGGAGTTAACACCAAATTGTGTACATCAGTATTCAAACTTCAGACT